TTTCGAGACCGTTTTCTCTTCAATCAAAAGGAAGCTTGTATTCTGCTGAGTTTGGATTTATCTCGAACTTGTCTTTAATGACTTAATGTGTCTGAGAAAGCAAAGCAAGCCGTTTCAAAGCATTGTTTTACATGACAGAGCGTCCTTCTAATCCACATACAGTTACTTTGGCGGCGAATTTAAGGAACACGCAATTTCAAGATAGAATACAAGAATTGCATTTCATTGAGCATTTCCTTAGAGTACTGTGTAGTCAGCTTAAGCAAAGACAAGATAACCCTGTCGGCATCGCCTGCTTCATTTTAACAAATGGTTTCGTAGTCAAGGAAAGCTTTGAGTTTCATGAACAATCCTTCAAATACCGAAACTCCATGTGTCAGCCATTCGCTCAAAGTCTATTCTGGTCTAAAATTAATTATGACCACTAACAGCCATTCTTGCTTTCTACAGCTGGGGTGGTTTCCGTGCGATAACTCTTCAGGGAACATTTTGATGTCATGACTTTCTACATATACATATAGATTCATTTTCACCTTAGGTTGTGTCCGTTAATTGACCCTTCAAAGAATAGTTTTCATTTAACTTTTTTCAGATCATATAGTATCAATTAACAGCTCAGGTTTAGTTTTGACCTGGATTTTACATTCAATATGACCGCTAACGGACATTTTTTATATAGCACCTGAAGTGTCCGTGTGAATACGCAAAAGACATTTAAATATTCATGAAATTTGCTACAAAAGCCAAAAGTATCGTTTATCTGTATAAGTTCGATTGAAACATATTATAAAATAAACGTGGCCATTAGGGGACATCTTGGATTTATAAAATATCAAAATATTTTCTGAATGATAACCCAAAACATATTGCTTTACTGTGACCTTACGTATGAATCGCTTCGTAATAGTATTGTGTTGAAATCTTTATAGTAGATTTTCTGTCCGGTCAATGTTCTTGTGTGGCTTTCAAACGTCCTATTATGACGTCGTTGTACTATAACGTCAACATTTTATGCAAAAACCTTATTGTATTTTCCTCAACACGTCAGGCTAAATTCCAATTATTTCATAAAAACATACATTTGCATTACATATAAAGTTTGTATAACCCTAATATGGATTTTTAGAAAAATAATATGTGAAGTTTAATGTAGTTTGGAAATGCTTTGTGTATCCGTTTGCAGTGTTCTTATTCTAACTTGTTATGTACAATGAAGATAGGTTGGATAGCGAGGTATTAAGTAGAGCGTTCGAGATAATATGTCGAGCGCTTGTGAAGTTATGTCGAGCGCCCGACATAACAAGTCCAGCGCTAAGCATAACTTCTCGATTGCTCGAATTATTATCTCGACATAATAAATGTAGAAAATAATATTGTGCATGTCCTTAATGTACCACCGTAGATAATCGACCTCAACTAAAATTTAAAAAAAAAGTTCTACAAGTTCGTTGTACGTTCCGAGATTGACTATGATTTCGCAGTATATTTTTATATATTTGGATCTGCCCTCAAATGGTAATGATACTTGATTCAACTCACAACTAGGGCAGGTGGTTGGTGCTGGGTGACTTTCCCTCAACACTTCTAAAATTATCGAATGATCCATTGAGCTTCAATCAAACCATGATAGCCCCAGCTATGCTTCAAACGAAAAAATAAATTATCCTTCCTTTAGACAGTTGACTTAAACAAATTTCGAATAAAGGTATTTTTCTCATCAAAACCAAAATCATACACAATATTTCTTTACGGATATCGAATGTGGAACTAAACTTGAAAGAACATATTATTTGACAGCCTTAACCGGTTAAGATAATCATTTTTGTCGTTAATACATATCGCAGCATTTGTTACACACCCTTATGCGAAACCGCAATTGATGTGCTGTGCCGGTTGTAACATTTTGGGTCTTTATATGTTCTCTGTACTTCCAGATAACTGTTTTGGCTCCTAGTACCTTGCTCTCGCATTATAAAGTCGGCATCAGTCCGCGCTATCACAAGAAGACAAACACGAACACATGACAGCCTCCCAAAACACACACGCATACATCTTGCACACAGGGGATACCGTCCTTAAATGACCATAGCTGTTGATAGGACGTTGAACAATACTAAACCAAATTAAACCAAACCCTGCTTCGCAATGCTTAACCTTTGGCCGCAGTGTTGATCGTTCGCCCGAGTTGTTTAGGCTACTAAGCTGTTAATAGGACCAAAGCAAAACTCTTATGTACTCTTATGTAAATTCCCCGTGCAATTTCAGTGAACTAAGAGGCCTGCTTTATCACACTGCATATTGTTTGGTGTGACTTAATAATGGGGCTCCTTACAGGATCTGTGGTTTTGATTTTATTAGGTTTTATAGCGTTTAACATGCTACATATGTACAAAATCTAAACTCATTGAAGGAAGTACTTCCATGTGTGTAATGAATGCGCACATACGTGTATGTGTGGAGGTAGGTTATATTCATGTAGGTGTCTTTTTGTGATGGCGCGGCTATGATGGAGACTTTATATTATATATCATACAAGTTATGCCCGGCTGCAGCAAGGTATGGAAGCATTTCTTGAATAGCTTGTAAGTGTAATTGCCAGTTACCAGTCCTTTCGACCTTTATAAACCTACGGAGTATATCTACCATATCCATGTACTGGAANCACGACATGTTATCGTATGCGATGATTAATGTGGCGCCGACTGCAGAATTGAGGATTTTACAATACTAATAACTGCGACCTAGAGGTCAAACGTGATATAGTCCGCAAGCAGTTTACATATTAGAATTCAGCGTAATGCCATGAACCGTACGAGTTACTGGCCATTTTACTGGCTTTATCATCCCCTCCCTTAAAACTGTTAATTAGCTTTTTTACAACGAGAGATGATAAACATGATGTTTCCTATGTGCATGTGTTTGTGTTAATAGCATGTGTCCCCGAAGAATTTCCATGTACTAAAAGAGTAAAAACTAATTCTGAAAAAATATTAGCGATCGATTTATGTATATGTTACATGGATGTACTATGTTAGCAGGTTAGATATATATTGATGTTCATAAAGTTTGCACATGTCGAGTTATAATTTAGATACAATTTGAACCTACACGATGTCTATAATGGCAGCCATCCATCTCCCTATGACGTACGCTTCAGCGATGACGTTAAACATAAGAAAAGAGAGATTTACAATAATTTAAATGCATTTTTGATATTGAGATTGGATCTGTTATGGAGCATACTAATTATAAGGTTTTGTTGGTACATTCATATTTAAGCTTCAAAATATGATTAAACGCTTTTTTAAACAAGATACATGTACATATAAATTTGCGAGCTTATTTCCTTACAGCAATTTAAAACAGTTGAACTTCTTGTGAGGCATAGAAGTCTAGTGGTAGGACGCCACGGCACGGCACCGTGTTGTATATTTGAGCAAGATACTTTACTCCGCTTGTTTCAGTCTACTAAGCTGTAAATGAGTATATGGTTGGGCGGTGCTAGCTTTGTTGAATACTAGTTATGAGCGCCGAAATAGCAGCACCGGCTGTATGCTCTCCAGGGAGTTAAGAAAGATATTGGCTGGTTTCAAAGGCCCTATAAATACGGATACTAATTTGTGAACCGCTTTGAGACGATCTACGAACTAGGGTAGCAGTGTACAGTAGCGTACGGTGGTCATGGGTGGTATACTCTAAAATTGGCATATACATGATGAATTAGACTATGTGGGCGTCACATTTAATGAAAAGAAAAATCGAATTTGACTTGAGACTCCATTTTTCGCCATTTACAAACCTGTGTCTACACAACAAAACCTAGCTTTTCAAGTAGTCTAATTTTGCACTCAGCACATTTGTAAATAGTATTTGCTATAACGTGAGTATTTCTGTTACCGAGTAGGTGATATTTAATTTAAGACAGGTTTTATGAAAAAAAATACTGCTTGCGTGTTTTGTTGCATTTTGTGGCGTTTTTTGATGTGGTAACCATGGTTTTCACAAGTCCAAAATCTGAGGAAATCACTTTTTGAAAAAAACAAAATCTAAAAAGAAACTGTTCCAAATACAGTTTATAAATATATATATATATATGTAGGTGTGTTGTGCAGGATGAATCCGTTATCCATGTTTATCCGTAACTGTTATGTTTATAGTTATGTTGATGTTGTCCATCACGGTTATTAGTATCACTGCTATCCAGAATGTACTCTGCGGTTATTATTACAAATGTATTTATGTGTACTGCGCATGCTCAGATGTATGTAAGCTACCGCCATGATGGAATAAACATGTGCCTGTCTGCAACTCTGATAATGTTGTCAGTGTACTGTTGTTCCCGAAAGCACCGGACACTACAGTGGCGACGAGGATGGGATAAACATGTGCCTGTCTGCAACTCTGATAATGTTGTCAGTGTACTGTTGTTCCCGAAAGCACCGGACACTACGGTGGCGACGAGGATAAAGATGACAAGATCATCGGTAGAAAGGTCTGAAATTAGTTAAAACGGCGACCTTAGCCAAAGAACTTTTCTCAGTATTACATTTCCGTACGTAAAGCATCGAACATGGCGGTATACGGAAAATTGAGTCTTTTGACTTTGAAATGAACTGGGATGTATACGCAGAAAGACTTGAGGATTATTTTGTAGCTAACGGGGTAGATGAGGAAGCTAAACAACGCTCGATATTGCTAACAGTTGTGGGTCAGAAAATGTATGGACTCATTCGAAATCTCACGTCCCCCGACAAGCCCTCCACTAAGTCCTATGCTGACTTGAAAACGCTCATAAGTCAACATTTAAAGCCGAAACCTCTTATTATAGCGGAACGCTTTAAATTTTACCAGCGAATCCAAAGGCCTAATGAAAGTATCTGTCAATATGTGGCTGAATTGAGACGATTAAGTGAACATTGTGAGTTTGGTGGTTTCGGTTTGTGTCAGGTTTGTCATCTGTTCCTACTCAACATAAACTTCTCACAGAGGCTACGCTAACCATGAGTAAAGCTAGAGAGATAGCTGTGAGTATGGAAATGGCTGATAATGAGGCCCGGAAGTTGAAAGGTGACAGTATGGACAAGCCGGAAAATGTAAACAAATTTCATTCATCGAAGGAATGTTTTCGCTGTGGTAAAACAAATCACAATGCTGACAAGTGCTTCTACAAAAACAGTAAGTGCCCCACGTGTAAAGATACAGGCCATTTGCACAAGAAGTGTCCTAAAGGCAAACCTAAGGACAGATCTACGAATAGTAAAGGTCAAGTTGGTAACAACCCTGCGGATAACCGGAAATCAGGAAAGAAAGGAAAAAAGAGCTCAAAACTGCATTTCATGGGGGATTCAGAATCTGAGGAAGAAAACACTTCTGTATGGCCAATTTTCTCGATCAAAAGTAAAGGACGGAGGGAAATCAAAGTTTCTGTGTGTATTGAACAGGTACCACAGACAATGGAATTAGACACAGGCTCCCCAGTCTAATTGATATCGGAAAAGGAAACAATGCTCACTAAAAAAGAAAGTAAAGCTACGACACAGTTCCACTATGTTAAAGACATACACTGGTGAGCACTAACCAGTGTTGGGCGAGGCTGATGTTCATGTGTCATATGAGGAAAGATCAGACTGTTAACATTGCTTGTGGTCGAAGGTGATGGACCTGCTCTATTTGGTAGAAATTGGTTGGGACAGTTACAGCTTAATTGGAAAGCTATCAATCTGATCTCTATTAATACCCAGAAATATTCTGTGTTTGAGGAAAATTGGGCACAGTTAAGGGGATCACAGCGTCCATTAAACTCAAGGATAATGCCCAACCCAAGTTCTTTAAGGCCAGAACTGTACCAAACGCCCTCAAGGATCAAATTGCTAGAGAACTTGAACGCTTAGAGGCAGCAGGCATAGTGGAAAAGGTGGATAGTTCAGATTGGGCGACCCCAATTGTTCCTGTCATGAAACCTGATGGCTCAATCAGAATCTGCGGTGATTTCAAGATTACCATTAATCCTGTACTAGACGTACCTGAGTACGCTCTTCCCACCAGTGAGGAATTGTTCACTAAACTCAATGGAGGACAAAAATTTTCTAAACTAGATTTAACCCAAGCTTACAATCAGGTTCTTCTGGACAAGGAGTCTCGTGAGTATGTAACTATCAATACCCACCTGGGTTTGTATAGGTACACCAGGCTTCCGTTTGGTGTAGCCTCAGCACCAGCTATATTCCAGAGAACTATTGAAACTGTGTTACAGGGCTTGAACGGAGTTGGGGCTATTCTGGATGATGTTTTGATAACAGGAAAAGATGATGCTGACCATCAGCGTAATTTGGATGCCACACTCCAGCGTTTGGATGACTATGGGGGTAAAGCTAAAGAAATCCAAGAGTTATTTCATGAGAGAGAAAGTAGAATATTTTGCCTTTGTCGTAAACAAGGACGGAATTCATCCCTCACCACGTAAAGTCGAGGCTATTGTAGGATTAAAAGATCCTCAGAACAAGAAGGAACTGCAGTCGTGGTTAGGTATTGTGAACTACTACAGGAAGTTCATTCCCGACATGTCAACTGTGGTACAGCCTCTTAACGCCTTATTGGCCGACAAAGTTGATTGGAATTGGACGACAGCTTGTCATGAAGCATGTAAAACGGTCAAGAAGTTATTGATGTCTTCAGAAGTTCTCGTTCATTATGACCCAGACAAACCTGTAACCTTGGCAGTAGACGCATCCTCATATTGTTTAGGTGTGGTAATCTCTCACACTTTCGACGGTGATGATCGACCGGTAGCATACGCATCACGAACACTGAATTCCGCTGAACGGAATTATTCTCAAATTGAAAAGGAAGCATTGGCAATCATATACGGTGTATGCAAGTTCCACCAATACCTTTATGGACGCACATTTACTTTGCTGACTGACCATTAACCTCTCACATTGATCTTAGGTCCAAAGAAGGGAATTCCTGTACTAGCAACTTCTCGATTACAACGCTGGGCTATACAGTTGTCATCCTACCAGTTCGACATCAAGTATCGATCGACAACTCAAAATGGAAATGCTGATACTTTATCACGATTTCCAGTTGATACTAGAGACTACACCGAAGTGGATGAGGAAGCAACAAAGGTGAACAAGCTGCAGTTGAGCAAACTACCATTAACAGCAAAGCAGATAGCTAAGGCAACCAAAAGTGATGTTGTGTTGTCTAGAGTAATGCATTTTGTCACCAGTGGTTGGCCACATGAAAAACCGGAGAACAAATTTCTTCCTTTTTATCGTGTTCGGGACGAGTTGACCGTGGAGGAAGGATGTCTCCTGAGAGGAATTCGAGTTATTGTTCCTGAGAGGTACCGTGAGGAGATCTTGAACGAGTTACATGGGAATCATCCTGGGATGGTAAGGATGCAATCGTTGGCTAGATTGTATGTGTGGTGGCCAAACTTGGATACAAACATAGAAACTAGGGTGGCAAAGTGTGAAAGTTGTCGGAAACAACTGCCAAACATGCCACAGTCGCGATCGAATCCCTGGTTATGGGCAAACAAACCATGGGAACGTGTTCATATTGACTATGCAGGACCGTTCCTATATTAAATGTTCCTAGTCGTAGTGGATGCCCTTTCAAAATGGTTGGATGTGGTGAGAATGTCTTCGACAAGTGCAGAGAGTACTATTAATGCTCTTCGATACATGTTTTCTGCACACGGTTTGCCAAAAGAGGTGGTATCGGACAACGGACCTCAGTTCATCGCATTGGAATTTGAAACATTCCTCAAAAACAATGGTGTCCGACATGTCAAATCAGCACCATATCACCCAAGTTCTAATGGCGAAGCTGAACGCGCAGTTCGAACCTTCAAGACTGGCATGAGAAACATGGAAAATGAGGGAGGTTCATTAAACCAGAAGTTGGCCTCATTTCTGTTGTCATACAGGACAACACCGCATACTCTAACGAAAGTAAGGCCCGCGGAGTTGTTCATTGGACGGAAACTCCGAACGCGCTTGGATGTTATGAGACCGAGTTTGGAACAGTCAGTTCAAAGGCGTAATCAATTGCGCACGAAGAATTGTCGCGAGCTTGAAGTTGGAGATTTGGCAATAGTACGCGATTATCGTGGTCATAATCGAAAACCATCATGGGTTCGAGGACTTATTTTGCGAAAACTTGGACCAGTCACTTATACTGTTCAAGTTGGTGATCTCCAGTGGAAAAGACATGTCGACCAAATTCGTGGATGTCACTCTGATTGTGATATCATGGACAGTGAATCTGAGACAGGATTGAACGAGTCGTGCATTACTAGTGATACATTTGTCGCGCCTCAATATCCCATGGGTGATATGATAGAGCCTGTATCAGTGATTCCACGCCAGGAAAATGTGTCGAAAAATCCAAAAATAGTGTCTTCTCCAAAACACTCCGTTAGTAACGCGAATCGTGAAAGGACACCAGCAGAGACAAGGCCTGATCCTGGTTATACTCCATCGCACAATGTACCTATGGAAGCAGAACCGCGCTATCCACGTCGCGAACACTCCAAACCAAACCGGCTGCTTGAGACCATGTGACATTTCAAAAATGAACTGGAACTGTAATTTTGTTGGTTAAGTTTCTACTTTAAAGTTCTGTTTGTGTTTTGAGTTAAAGACTTATTATTATGAACTGTGCTTACTGTATTAAAAATTATTGAGATTAAGCTGAAGTGAAATTTCATTTAAAGACTAATAATTACTGGTAGTAATTATATTTTCCAAAGGGGGAAAAGTGTTATGTTCATAGTTATGTTGATGTTGTCCATCACGGTTATTAGTATCACTGCTATCCAAAATGTACTCTGCGGTTTTTATTACAACTGAATTTATGTGTACTGCGCATGCTCATATGTATGTAAGCTACCGCCATGATGGAATAAACATGTGCCTGTCTGCAACTCTGATAATGTTGTCAGTGTACTGTTGTTCCCGAAAACACCGGACACTACAGTAACATGCCCTTTATTTCTAGGATCAATCCATTTCTACTGTACTCTGCTACCTAGGTTGTGATAAAGCGGTATATAAGAACCTCGAAATATTATAACAATAAATCCTTATACGTTTTCTTCTATGACTCAATAGAAGCTGGGTAAGTCCTAGAAATAGTAGATGCTGTACATGTTACTTGGTAAATGTTTAGCAATTAGGGTAATGGCAACAACTGGTTAATCTGTTGTCGGTAAAATTAGACCAGGTTAAATACTAGGAGGCGAATACCCCAAAATACCGTCTCTAGCTTCTAGCCACGGAAACATTACACACATAGATATAATCCTATAATTCTATAGTTGTTAATAGGATGCTAAACCGAACCAATCAAACACTAGGTGCATACTTGCTGAGTGACACCCATATCAAATAGTATCATTCGACCAACGCGGTATTTGCCAAGCAGTGCACATTTATCATCAAGTGTTTCCAAGGTAACCAAATATTAAAGTGTCATAAGTATAATTTGATCTCATCTAGGTTGACATTTTGATGAATTTCGATTCGAGATTCTTTGGACTGTGATACATTGGGGTGCTGAGGTATGTGGACCCCGTTAATGCTATGATGGATCCAGTGAGGTTTCCAGGACTTTCGGAAACCCACAAGGTCTGTCAATTTGTCAATTTCCTTTCAATGTTTTTTTGTTTTTGTTCTGTCATATTTTCACAGCCATGTCATTATTTTTACTTGCTTCCTTGGAATTTGTATGAATGCAATAGCAGTTCTTCGAATCATGACAATTGAAATATACCGTGCAATCCCGTTACGTAATACATCAATGTACGGCACCTGATGTGTACACAGTGTAATGAGACAGTTTGTGGGTAATGAAATAATAACATTACAAAGTGGTGGTATGTTATATAGTACGGGCTATATACAATGTAGGAAACGCACTTACAATCGATTAGGTCCTGAACATATATCTGCCATCATGAAAGAATAATACATCAAATTATGCAGAAACTTAAAAAGAAAAATCCATGTAGTTTTGCCCGAATTTTTTTTTTGTGATTTTGGTCCCCATCTTTCCCCCTTGATATCTCGGAGTGGTCTCCAAGCTGACCTTTATTTCATGTCATATCATGATGGCATACCCCAAGGTTGTTAAGGTATGTATATATAAAAATGAAACTTATTGGTGATAGCCACCAGAAGGCCGAAATTGCCACCGATCCTTTTGTAGGATTTCAGTTAAATATTTTACACCTAACACGTTTGATATTTGTGGTGTTCTCTGTTAGCGCTCTGTATTTTTTCTATAATTTAGGTAACGTATTATGTTGGTGTGTTTTACAGTAGAAGAAAATAGGTTGATGTCAATATCTATTTGTTTCAGAGTTAGACTAACCACTGTAGTAAGCGAACCAGGCTTTGAACACAACTTCATTTGTTTGAACATTCAGTTAGCCTGTGGAAGGAAACCACCTGGCGCTAGCTTACCGTATATAATTAACACAGTAATTGGACATACATATATCGACGTTTCGAACACCAGACAATGGCTCCTCTGCCCAAAAAAACCGATACTGCAGGCGTGCAATTCCCAAAATAAGACCCACTCGTGTTCATATGACAGTTTTTAAACACGGACTGAGAAAACAACTTAGAATAATATGGTATATTTAAAGATAGAAATGCATATTTTTTTATATTGATAAAGGAATGAAACGGTTTCCGTGCCAACATAGTGTATTTTTATGTTTGAACAGAACTGTTTTTAGGCATTTACCATCTGAAGGTTGTTTTTGAAAATATACATTCGAATCATTACATTTACGTTTAAAATGGCAAGAAAGAGCAATTTTATCCTTCAGTGTTGTTTCTTTAGATACATGACATATCCTTAAACATTCTTTATACCAATTGGAACAGCTTTTTTCCTAGGAACAAGGTTGCGATATTTCTGATGTGAAACCACTCGGGATTTTTTCATCAAAACGTACTTTGGCCGTTACAAAATGATTAGTTCCTGATAACTCTATAAGTACAAAAATATACTAAACTAACATTTTGTACATATCGCCAATTCATCATAACCCAAACTTCTTACGTATTATCCGCGGGCTATATGTTTTTAACCTTGAAAAATGCCCTCTGCGGGATATCTGATGAAGCGGGTGATGTCACGAAATGTTTGGAAAAAGTGCGGGTTTTGCAATCTATTACACACCCAAAAACCCTATAGATTTTCAGTTGTTATCAAGAACACAAAAATATATATAGATTTCCAAGTTTATCACCCACGTATATATTGCAAGTTCATACGAGCGCCACCGCCATGTCGTCTATATGGGGTACTTAGTGGAACACTTCGATTCGCAATGGCTGCCAGCATAGTGAATGGCGCTATCAATGATAAACTCATAATTGAATCTTAATCGAAAGCATCGATTGCTAACATCTTTTACACATCAAGGTAGGTACAGGTGAAAACAACATCACCTGACATTAGAAGTGAATCTGGTATCCATTGCACATAGTGTTTAACCCGCGGGCAATCTGTAGAGTTAATTTCCTAAACATGATATTTGCAGGTGTACGGGCGTAACGAAGCGGGCAATACGCAAGACATTACGGTAAACTCAGACATATCGTTTAGGACATACGGCATTATACAGATACTCGGATTTAACATCAGCAAAATCTTAATTATAAACATACAAAGAAAGTACAGTTGTGCTTCCTTTAACTCAAAAGTTGTATGTCTCTTTGAAGCTTGTCGTTACCCAATAAGCTATAATAACGAGAACTTTTACGAACCCTTAGAACTCTATTTTAGTATAACTCTATTTTAGTATATTTAAGGTATACTTATACCTGAACATTAGATACAATTTATTTTATAAAAATGCATCAAGTACATTTGGGAAGATGGATATGATCGTTCGCCCAAGTGAAAAGATAATATGATCTGTCCTCAGCCAAGGACATACCAAAGTCCTTAAAATTCATAGTTGTCATTCGCAACCTAAAGTTAAACATTTAAGTTAATCATAACAACTGTCATTTTGATAAAGTGACCGGCCGGAATAGTGTGCCGGTTGTCTTTGGCATGGTAATTCATTGAGATATCTAGCCGACATCGAGTCTGTGCTATCCAAAGGAAATGGTTTAATCGTATATCGAATATGTTTTGTAAATTAAAATAACAGGTCTTTCTATAATTTAAGTTGCATAAGTCGTTCCTAATCCATTGACTGAACTGAATTTAAAAATACTCAATTGAACTTAACAGTATAACCCAAACAACGATGTATATATTTAAGTAGGTGCTTTTATCTACAAGCTTTATAATAGAAATGTAACTATATGGATATTGTTCTGCACAGCATTCGTTATTTACAGGCAAAAACAAAACATAAACCCTTTTTAACTTCGTTTTAAAAAGGGTTTAAATAGACATGCAGAAACATCCTTACACAAAAATAGCATTCCCTGAACTGAATCCAGGGACTGACGCACTGAAATCTGGAAGTGCAATTGTTGCCATACATCTACAAAAAAAAGGTCGTCAACCTTTCAAATGTCTGTCGGGGATTTATATAATGACTTTTTAGGTA